CTGGACAGGTAGCGCGCACACACAACAGGTAAAGTGTTTTTGTACCTCAAGTTCTTTAATTTTCTCATCAGCTGTTTTCTGTTTGTCTGTCAGCTGATTATTGATTTCCTCCTTCGACTGAAGAATGAACCTGAGACACACACACACACAAGGGGGTTGTGAGAAGGAGAGCGATTTTGAACAAAATGTAGAGCCAAGGAAGGTCTGACCTTGGTGGGCAAAATGGGGAATGATTCCAATCTCCACTCACGTAAAGGCTTGTCCCCTTGCTGAAAACTGATACTATCCGAGCAGCTAGAGACGTCGGCTAACAATCAACATTGGTGTGAAGTGTGTTGCAGGTTGCCTTGTGTTGAGTTTTCCCAGTGTTGCTATGTCTTCCCCCACAAACTGGATGGTTCTCGGGCCCCTCTGCAGTGTCGGAAGTTCCAGACTCTTCCCATGGCCAAGCGAGTTGGGAAAGGAGCAGGCACAGGAGGCCAAGAAATGTAAATAGGTGAAACCTCAGCTGGCTAGATTCCGCTCAAACATATGCAAGGGAACGAAATCTGTTGAAATGAAAGGGAAAGTCTAACGGTTGTATAGTGGCAATTTTAATTAAAATGGTGAAGAATTTCAAATGTGTGGGGGGGTAGAGGAGGGTGTTTTCGCCGCCAGAAGAGAGGGGCGAGCGCGGGTCCAAGTCGAATGTTTTGGAAGTACCACCAAAGCACCCACTGCGCAAGTATGTATGATACAAACCCCACGGGAGGAGGGTGAGGGTGTTAAAGCAGATCAATATCCGGAGAGGTGGTGTGGTGAGGTGTGAGAGTGGGGTGGTCCCGAGCTAAAAGTTTCGTAAGAGCACAGCGATCGCCGCGCTTGAATGCGCCCAATCGTGAAGATGTGCCGCACGATGCAGGCGAACCACTGCTGCCTCGGGCGCGTCGACAATAGCTGCGAGCAACACACAGTACCGCGCGATTAACGGGACTTCTCACACGAACAACACACCCACAAGCACATGTGGATATTCGCATTATTTGCTCGCGCGCCCTGTCGTCTTCACAACATGACACACCCACGTTTCGGACCACCACCGTCCGGGCCCACGGCCCAAGCAAACTGTGTTCTCACTGGTAAACACCATGACCTCAACATCTCGTAAATACGTCCTATCGTCTCACACATATGGACCTAAAATAGGCAACAAACAAGACGCCCAATCAGGCAAGAAAAGATGCTTTCTTCAGCATTCCCCTTGAAATCAAATCAAAACAGAGCCAGTAAGATATATTAGCCGATTTTGCATAGAGGTCCGCCCAAAGAAAAATCAACACAAAGGATTAAAGTTTGCTGTTTACAGTTTAGGGCTCCTACACCAGCTCCCCAAAAAAAAACAAATCTGTTGTATTCGCAACCTCATGGCAATCTTACCCAGACTTCTCACTTGGATCTTATGAGGCTCAAAACAGGTTTGCCCTAATGAGTTTAATGGTCTAATCTCCTAGTTCGGTCTTCCTTCCCATACAGCGAATGATGTTAACCCTCATGCGCTCTGATGGTCCCACAGGGGAGGCAGTAATGACAGAACATAAAGCACCAAGGGGGCGGGGGGGGTTATGCTTCTTTAGGGAGGCGCTTCATCTTTCCGGTCGCGCTTCGAACTTGGCGAAAGCGTCACCACTCTATCTGCGCCTGGCGGGTTTTAAAACGAACATATACCGCCTTCTAGTCTACACGTGTTTAAGCTGCGGTACACACCACGCCACGCTTTTTTTGTGACCACGCGGAGCCGTAATTTTTTTTTCTCGCTTAGAAGTTAAGCCCCAAAAAGCCACGAGTGAGTTACGGATGGACGTTCAGTCTGGCACACACACACACACACAAAGTCGCATCGGCGAACCTCAACTCAAATAAAGAGCGCGACATTGAATCTTTCACACGCACCGCCACATCGACTACAGCAGTAAGGCCAAATTGTGTAAACAATCCCACGTCCACTTTCTGTAATGCGCCATGTTGCAGCCATATAAGAAAATCCAGCCATATTTCTAGTGCAGCATAGGCCGTTCTGGAATTAGCAGCTGGAACAACAGCAGGGAGTACAAGCATAGTCACAGTATGTCAACTGTCAGAGGACGAGAGCGTCGCGAATAGTGTTGTCAAGAATTAAAGACAAAGGGAAGAAACACTGCTAACTGTACAGGCAGGAAACTGGTGTTCCCAAAAACAGTCTGGACCAATTAAATCTGTACAACACCGGCGTTTTCCGGTTTTATCCCGCGCGCCCGTGCCACACACCACCACAAATAGCCCACCGGCATGGCTCGCGACGCCGGCACGTCCGCGCGTTCGACCCACAGCTCGGCACCACAACCTCGGCGCCACCAACGCCCAAACACAACACACACCACACAGTATCGTTCTGGCACGCGCCACAAGCAAAGCCTGAGTTACAGCCAGCACAGGCCCGGGACGCAAAAACTAACAGCTGTTGTGGCTCTCCTACAAAGAACAATGCCTGTGGCGTGAATGAAGTACATTGACAGCAAGACATCCGCATACCAGTCTCTCACAAAAAAGAGGACTCACTCAACAATTTTCCCACTGCGCGCTATCCTTGCTGCGACTTTAGTGACTTAGATTAAAGTGTAGCACCATCACGTTCACACGCTGTCTCTCTCACTACTCATTTCGCTGGTTTCCGGACGTACACCACAGGCCCCCGCAGCTTTTTTCTCCACCAGCTCACATCACTTCGAGCACTTTCGACCTCACACAGCGCCACACACTCCCGCAGCTGCACATTCCAAACACACAATTAATTTTGTTTAAACACTCAATCATCCACCTCGTGCGGCCTCTCGTTTTCGGGGCGCGCGCGCCACAACGTGTCCTGCCTATCTATACGTGTGACAATGGGCTATACGGGCGCCGGACGAACGCCTGTGTGAACCCGGAATGCGTTCCACACTGTGCTCATTTTTCAATTCGATAGCCGGCACGGTTTGCCTCGCCTCTACCACATTTTCTTAGTTTACGTTCATAAACCCCTCACAAGTTTCCAAGGTATTTCATTTGTTACAAGCTACGAGTAGCGTAACGTTAATACAAACTATTCTTTGGTCCAATACCTTCCACTGAAACTTCACGAAATATCGCTGACAGTAGAAACACATAAGCAGATCAAATGGTGCCAAAAAGATCTGGGTTCCCTCTTGGCTCCTCCTAGTGGCTCCTAATGGTATTTTGTAAGAAGTGAGGAGCGGAGTAGTTGATCTTGGTCCGCGCCGCCGTCAACACATCACCAACGACACTTCGCGCGAATCACACTTGCAATGCCATTAGGAGCCACCTAGGAGGGGAACCAGACGAACTGGGTTTGTTTTTTACAGATTATCTGTCTCATGTACTAGGCTGTCCCACGCGCATACCTAGTGAAAGTTTCAGCAATATGGACAAAAAACTATATTTTTTATGTTACTCGGCAGCCTTTGTAAAGGTTAAGTTTATTGTCCCAATACAGCTACATCCAACGGCACCTGTACTCATAGCTACTGTGTGGGAACCGTTTTAAACAAATGCAATACGTCCTTGGAAATGGTTCGCAGAAATTCAGCGAATAATTCTACTTTGAGATTGAGGAGTCAGCTGCCACCGCTGCCATCCTGCTAGCCCTGTTCCAAAGATGGCCGACGTTCGCTCTGCGAGCGTCGTAGCACGCATGAAGATACCCTCTGGAGCCCATCCACTTAAAAGCCAGGAAGCACGAGCCCTGTCAAGAATAAAACACACGAGCGTCAAAAACATAAACACACCAGAATGTCAAAATAAACACACAGACATGTCAGCGAAATAAAGACAGCCTGAGACCGCCAACAATACGACACAGCAGAGCGTCCAAAATAAACACAAAAACGTCAAAAATAAACAACAGAGAGCGTCAAAAAAATCAAAACAACCAGAATCGTCGGAAATACCAAAGACAGAGCCTGTCAACATAAAAACACAAGAATGTCAAAGAATAAAACACAGAATTGTCAAAGAATGAGGGACGGGGGGGGGGGGCTAACAACACAGAGTCGAAAAATAAACGATAGGACGCGCCGCAAATTTATAAAACACAAGCTTTGTCAAAATAAAACAAAGGAGCGTCAAAATAGAACACAGAATGGTCAAATAAAAGACACAAAGTGAGTGTAAATACAAACAAATTTCCTGAACGCTGTAGCTTGTGCGTCCGTGTACGGATGCTCTCCGGGCCAAACAACGACAGTCACCAGATCTTTGGCAACCACGATGATCAGTCCAGCCAGGAACATTCCTCCCGCCGGCTGCCAACGTCTCGGTGATACCACTAAGAGGGATCGGACCCAGGTGGACCAGAACAGGTGGGGACAGTGAGTGGAGATTCTGGCCATTGGTACGCAACATAGCCTAGAGGGACCGGTCCACAGTACACGAAAGACACAACGTGTGTTCTTACATCCCCTGGAGGACAGGAATCCAGACCCCTGGAGGCCACCTGCGAGGGGACAAACCCTCAACATCTGAGGTCACCCCGAAAACAGACCAGACTGTCTACTGAGCAACCCCTATGAGAAGACAGAAAGGTAGAACCAGGTCGTGACGCCTCCCGAAGAGACGAAAGCCTAGACTAGGTGTGGTACATGGTGAGTTCCAGTGTCCCTGCAGGTGAGCTCGCAGTGTAGCGCAGGTGTGGTACAGGCTGAGTTCAAGTGTGTACTAGAATTGAGTTGTGAGTGTGTACAGCGTGCAGTTCAAGTGTTCGTACAGGGTGAGTTGAGTGTGTACAGGTGAGTTCAGATGTGTTACAGGTGAGTTCCAGGTGTTAAGCAGGTGAGTTGTCGGATGTGTACCAGGTGAGTTCAAGTGTGTAACAGTATGAGTTGAGGTGTGTACAGGTGACGCACGTTCCAAAGTGTGTACAGGTGAGTTCAGGTGTGTACGCAGGTGAGTTCGGATGTGTCACGAGCGTGAGTTGCAAGTGTGGTGACAGGTGAGTTGAGGTGTGTACAGCTGAGTTCTTCAAGTGTGTACAGGTGAGTTCCAGATGTGTACATGTGTGTACAGGCCTGAGTTCAGGGTGTGTACAGGTGAGCTTCAAGTGTGTACAGGTGAGTTCAGCGTGTGTACAGGCTTAGTTGCCAAAGTGTGAC